CCGGTGATTAGGGCACTCCATTAGCAATCTGCGGGTTCGACTCCCCGTCATTCCGAACATGCTTGCCCTTTATAATGTGACAGTCAATCCCACTATTCATTGGTAAAAAAAATAGTAACCCAAGAGTGGACGGTGTTGACTAGCTGCCCTCTCTCTAGTCTATCACTTTTAAATCAGAGACGGCTAGCGCAGATAACTCTCGTGTACCTTTGCCCGAAATTCAAAACAAACCAAACTTAACAACACACTTCTCCAGATAAATCAATAAGTTCATGAAATAGGTATCCCCTGAATGGTGGCGTTCTTACGCTGTCGTACGTTTTGAACAACCCTAACGGTAGTGGTTTTTCTTGGTTACAGTTATATTTTCTTTAATCTATTCTTTTTTAAATCGTTTATTATAAACTTATTAATGACATCATGGTCAATAGGCTCTACGTTTGTTCAAATTTTGTTTATCACGTTAAATCCATAGCTACAATGGATGTCCAGACGAATAATTGTTATTATTTTGTAATCAAAGTCTAATATATTGTGGAAATGGATTATGAAAATAAAAAGCCACAAAATGCGCTGAAAGAACAAAATTATAACACTAGCTAACTTTTAATACCAGCAATAAACGACCTTATAAGGTCGTTTATTTCCAGTATCAAAATGTCCTCAAAACATCGATATGAATTACAGAAATTGAAAACTGTCTTACTTTGTATATAATTATTTGTCCACTAGATGGAAGCACATTCACAATTTAGTTTTTTATATTTCACATCGTCTGGTAATATTATATGAAGAGAGAGGTAAAAAAGCACTGAAAAATAATTTCATAGCAATTGTCTCAAAAACCGTTAGTAGTGACAAAATGACCGAAAATTTTAAAAAGAATTCAATAAATGCCAGTAATTCTGTTATTTAAAATTTTTAAACATTATTTTTACTTAATAAATAATTTCACACCAAATATATTTTAAACACGAAATTCAACACTGAAAACACATGCCTGTGAATTTAAACTTCATAAAAGTTGTTTTGATTTTAATAACGGATTTTTCCATAATTCAGCTACAC